CCTTTTTWAAAAAATATGGTAGGATACAAAGAATGACCTAGAAAGATAGAAAAGACTTTTAAAGAAAGACTCAATGGAGCTGATAGAGGCACATCTTGCCTTTATTCCTGCTGGGCTTTGCTGATGGTGTAGCTCAGTGGCAGAGTGTGGGCTTAGCATGAGTGAAGCTCTGGGTTCAATCGCTAGCACCAAAACCAYAGAGTAACTTCCGGGCACGGTGGTAGCACATCTGTAATACCAGCAACTCAGGAGGCTGAGGCAGGAGGATCACAAGCTTTGAGGCCAGCCTTAGCAACTTAGAGAGATCCTGTTTCAAAATAAAAATAAAAAGGGTTGGTGATATGGTTCAGTGCTTAAGCAACCCTGGGTTCAATCCCCAGTACCAAAAACAAAGAACGAAAACCAGAATAACTGCCAGAAAGAATCCAATAAATTTTAAAGGAAGTAAACAAAATCAAGTTAGCAAACTTCAGCCAGTAGTCTAAAGCTAAGCTATTTATTTTTGTAAATTATGTGTAAATTAAATTACACACACACACACACACACACACACACACATACACACACATACAGGAGGGGGACTGTTAAGTGGTATAAGAGTAATAAAATTATTTGTAAAATCATCAGAACACAGCTATACCCACTGATATATCGTCTAGGATTAATTCCAAGCAGAGTATGCACAGACTATGGCCTACAAAGCCTACAATATTTACTATCTGGTCCTTTATAGAAAGGGTTTGCCAACAACTCTTCCCATATCCCAGGGCTTAGATTGTTAATATTTAATGTCATTACTAATGGGATTTGATGTAGGTTGTACCATTTTTTGTCCTCGTGGTTTTTGCTTCTCTCCTTTGTTTTTGCATTAAATGATTTTTAGTAAAGCATTTCAATCTCTATTGTTTTTAATTATCATTTAGTGTATTTCTAAATTTTTTGGTACTGAGGATCTCTCCCAGGGGCATTTACCACTGTGGTACATCCCCAGTCTCCCTTTCCCTTCCCCAGTCCTCTGTTTTGTTATTTTCACACTGGGCCTCACTAAATTGCTGAGGCTGGCCTGGAACTTTCGTCTTGGAGTCCAGAGTCCCTGGATTACAGACCTGTGCCACCACACCTGGCTTAATGTATTTTTTAATCTAATGACCGCAATATTTATAACTAACTTTTCTTGGTTTGAGCTACTATTATTCCTAATATTATACTTCATGTGAAATGTTACTAGTCCTAGAAGCCAAACCCAAACCCCACTAAGTGATCCATTCAATGGCCAGGACTTGGCTGCCAACATTCCAATACTTTGCCCTCACCTCTGACTCGGACCAATGAGAAAAAGCCAAATATGTTTCCTGAAACAATCCCATAAAATGTCTGCTGCTGTTTGATTCTATTTGTCCTGTTTCCTCATGTCAAAAACTGTCGGAGTGTCTGAAGTTTGTTAGTTTTGCACTATAGTGAAGCCAGAATTAGACAGGCAGTTCAGTATAGATACAGGTAAATCGAGTCAGGTCGGGTCAAGAGGCCAATCTGAGTGAGTTGGAGACTGTCCCCTGAGGGACTGAAATGTTAATTCCTTCACAGCCCTTCCTCCACCTTATCAAGAACCTGTCCCTGCTCCAACCTATTGCTAAGGTAACCTGTCCCAGGAATTGCCCCTCCCTACAGGGAGCTATAAGGTTGTTAATTAACGTGTCCTGGGCTGCTCCATYCTGCTCTTCTCCCTTCAGCTCACCTGTTTCCCACTTTTTGGCCACCCCACTGAGCATTTCCTAGGCCTAATCACACACACAGGGAGAGATAGGGCAAGAGAGCAGAACAAAGGAAGCCTAGGACAAAAAATGGCAGAACATCTCACTTCTTGGGATACCAGCTATGGTCCCTTTCTCCCTCCCGGGAGAAATCTGTTACCCCTTTTAAAATAAACCCTGCTTTATATGCTTACCTCAGCACACTTCTCTAATGTTAGGAAGCAGGACTTTTCCCTGGTTAAAMAGCAGTACCAATAGAATAATGCTGTCCTGCCAGAAACATGTGCCTGCCATATACAAGGGATTATTCAGCAAGTGCTGAATAAATGTTTATTTTCATTATTGGATGGTCTTCATTATTTTCACAACTCAATGTTCATCAATAGCACAATAACTGGTATAACTATATAATGGAAAATGATGTAGAAATGAAAATAAGCCATAGCTACATACAATTTGGATTGAGTCAAAGATGATTGATACTTACATTTCATCTAATTCCTTTAATGTTACAAGAGTAAAACAACAACAAAAAAAATACTCTCCCACATTTTGCAGATTGGATCAGAGTAGAGCAATTCTTCAACCCATGGCCAGACCACCTACAACTCTGATTTGGCATTCTCCTTTTGTAGAACCTAAAGATCAGTCAGAGGTGCAGGTCTCTAGTACTCAGGTTTTTCTCTGAATGTGTCCAGTCCTGGGCATGACCAGACTCCCTGGTATATGTGAGAACTGGAGATTCCCCCACACCTCTCTTCCCCAGCTGTTTCCTCTCAGGTTTTTTAGTCTGTTGCCGCTTACCCCATCCCTTTCCCCAGGTGGCTGCAGATAGCCTATTTAAAAAAGCTTTTGACAACACCACTCAAGAGGTTGGTCCAACTCAGCGGTGAGGAGGTGTGTGTGAAACAAATACAAACTTTTGAGCTGAACCTCAGGAACAAACAGGTCAAAATGCACAACCTGTTTTATAAAGACAAGATCTGCACTGCAATCTTTGGCATTAAGTTGCCACAGCAGTTGCCAACCTGAGGACTAGGGTATGGTAGGAGGGTAAGGAAAAGCACCAAAACTTCAACCAAAATTTAATAGTTTTCAATCAGGAGCAATGGTACATACCCATAATCMCAGCAACTCAGGGGGCTGAGGCAGAAAGATCTTGTTCGAGGCCAGCCCGGGCACCTTAGTTAGCTCAGTAGTAGTACTGGGTTCAATCCCCAGTACCACAAGAAAAAAAAATTGTTTCATGAAGTATTTCCTTGGTTGTTCTAGGTTTGTACTAGATATTGAAGTTCCAAAATTTTGACTCTCTTGTCAACTTCATGGTTATTTCAGTAGAGGACCAGATCTTGGGAGTTCCCTATACTATTTTTGGTGACATCATCTTACATAATATTTAAAAATGATTAGACTTTAGAAATAAAGGTTGCCAGGGGAGGAAAGTATCTTTGATTCTCACGATAATCGAGCTGTTCAGGATCTTTGATTCTGGTAGAGAGATGAATGCAAATGATAAAATTGTTTAGAACTACACTCTAAGTACAAAACTGGGGAAATCTGAATAAAATGAATGGATTCCACTAGTACAATTTCCTGGTGGCGATATACTGCAGTTTTACAAAATATTTATACTGGGAAAAACTGAGCTAAGCATGCAAGGGATCTTTGCATTGTCTCTTAAGACTCCATGTATATCTACAACTATTTTTATTTTTTATGCAGTGCTGAGGATCAAACCCAGTGCCTCACATGTGCGAGGCAAGCACTCTGCCACTGAGCCACAACTCCAGCCCTACAACTATTTTTAAAAAATCAATTTTTAAAAAAAGTAAGTCAGAGGATTCAGATGGGAGGGATGTTTTAGGAATATGCCACCAAAATTACTGAGCTTATAAAATTTTTACATATTCACAAGTTAGATGAAAAGAATGTTATGTTTAAATAAATCTAAAATAGCTTTTAATAAAACAGACTTTTAACAAAGAAAGCACCAAACTATAGTATAATTGATGGTGATTTTTCTTTTTAAGTATATGAAGTAACAAAGCATCATACAATTAATGGCAATTTAGATTTGATGGTTTATGGTACATGTTTGGAATGAGGTGGTTGACTTATAAGTCTTGTTTTGACTTAAGGTACTTTAGCATTAATCATTGATGTCTTGGATAAACACAATATTTTCGGTATAATAGGACAGACTGAGTCAGGAACCATACAGTAATTATTCATGTTTCTGTTTATACATAAAGGACAACATAATTTCACGAACAATCAGAAAATAGTATAAAAAACTTTAATAAGAAATGGACAAGATCATAAAATATTA